CTTAGCCAGTGGAGGGGACAACCCGGCAGATCCCAGCTGCCCCCCGGCACACACGGAGCTGCGCATGGAGGCGCAGGCATTCCTTGGCGCTGCCGTCAGCTCCCTGCTCTTCTCCTTTTTAGTCGATGCTGGTTGAGGCTGCTGTGCTGGTGCCAGCCCCCAGACCGCCCCACACTGCTCTTCGCCTCAGGGATCACCTCCTCAGGCAAAACACAGTGGGGCTGGCTGGAAGCAGGGTCCCCAGTGCTCCCCATCCTGCTCGCAGCTTTGCCCCTGTCCCCATCACAGCAGGGGGAGGCTGGTGTGCTGGTGCTCTCTGGGGCTCTCTTCCCACCCCACAGCTGGCACAGCTGTGGGGAGCAGTTGTCCTGGGGTGCACGCTGACATGGACACCCCTCCAGCACCCAATACCCAGGGTATGTGCAGCAGCTTCCCACCACAGCAAAGGGCGTAGGGGGAAATTAGGCAAGAGCCTGGCCCATTCGATCCCACCATGCCACCACCAGCTCATTGAGCTCATGGAGAGGCTCTGAATAATTCAGTAGCCGCCCGCCTGTGGGCACCCCGCTCCAGTTGCACCTGCATCACCTCGAGACATCTCCAGCCAGCCAGCCAGCACCCCTGGCCCCATGCAGCAGCAGAGATCAGGATGGACCCTGGACAAGCGAGGAAGGGGCACTCCAGACACCTGCTACCATGGGACCCCATCCTGGCCCCCAACCACACCACAGGGAGAAGGGAGGGTGGGTGTCCCCATACCTCCTCCTTGCTGAGCATTGGACAAAGCTCCTGGGCTTGGGGAGAGCCCGTCCCAGGATGATGACGCAGTCCCTGCTCGCAGAAAGCACAGCTCCTCCGGCCCTGTGCACCCAGGGTGTCCCAGCCTGGCTTGGGTGGCTGCGCAGGCTTTAAGGAGCAGACCTTCCTGGCCAAAGCAGAGTGGGCAGGGTCTCCCTTTGCCACTCCATCTCCTTGCAGAGCCAGGGGCCAAGGGAGCCAGAGCACAGATGAGGCCAGCAGAACCGCCCAGCCCTGCCAAGCTGCCCAGCAAAGCCCAGTGCTCCTGGCCCAGCTTGCCCAGCAGCAGCACCGCCTTCCCTTCCCACACCACATGGGGCTGGCAGGACTGGATCGGTCGGTTTGTCTGGCACTGGCAGCTGCCAGGCGCCAGGACCCGGCTCCACAGTGCAGGCAGGCTCAGCCCCACCAGGATGGCTGCAGGCGGTGAAGCTCCAGCACCATGTGCCCACAACGGGAATGGCAGGTGGCATGTACAGTGCTGGCACTCGGTGGCCTGTGGGGCTGACCAGGTCCCCGCCAGCAGTACCGTCCCTGCATCAGGGAGCAGTCCCTGGTCAGCACCAGCTTGGCCCCACATAGCCAGGACCTGCCCATGGCTTAATTCCTTGTTAGTAAGCTTCCTGCTGCTGCAATAGGCTGGGTTGGGCCCAAATGCAGCCACACAGCGTCTAACACCTTAATGCTGGAGGAGAGGCAGCCTGGGGGAGGGATGGAATGCCCTTCCCTGGGATTTCTCCCAGAGACCCCAGGACCCCTGGCCAGCACATCCCTGCCCTGGTGCTCTGCTCCAGGACTCCGTTCCCAGGGGCAAGGAGGGCTCCAGGAGCTCAGGACAGACCCAGCCCCACACACACGGGGCATGACATCCTCCAGGGCACCCAGTGCCTGGCCACAGCTCAAGGCCAGCACCTGCCCAGGCTGGCAGGGAAGGGGCTATGCTCCCTTGGGCTTCCCACAGCCTCCCACATGCACTGGCCAGTTTACCCAGTCTGGCCAGGTGCTAGCAGGAGCCCACTACCCTGGCCGCCCTCAGGAAGCAGGCGTAGCAGATGGAGCAATCCCTGACCCCGGGCAGGATGCAGGCCCTTGCTAAGGGGGTTTCCTTCCTCAGGCTGTTTTGGGAAGGCAGCGGGCAGCAGAACCTCCCCCGGCAGGACGGCATCCCCCCTTGCCTCTCCGCGCTCTGGCATGGTGCCCAGGAATCCCAGCGCATTCCCCGGAGCTGAGCTCAGCCGGGCATGGGGCAGGACAAGCCATCAGCCTCTACCCAGGAGCCAGGCAAGCCCTCACCCCTGCCCAATGCCCCCCAGTACCCCCACACAGCCCCTCCATTGGGTGCTTCATAGGTGTACCGCAGCTGAGCCGGGGTGCCATGGTGTGTCGGCCCCCACCCCATCTGTTGGCAGCACCCAGAGCTGGGGGATGGGACGGGGCTGGCTGCAGCCCCAGCCTGGGCACAAGGGATCTGAGCTCTTTTAACAGCGGAAATTAGAGTCTTATTTAAAGAGCATGCTAATCAAAGTGAGCAGACGGCTTGCTCCCTTCCCACAGCTGGTGCTCCCACCTAGACACAGGGTGAAGCCCCCCCCCCACTCCCCTACCCGGGGGTCTCAGCAGACAGACAGTCCCCTGCACCCTGCGTGGGGGACAGGCTCGTGCATAGCCCCACTCAGTGCACGTCCCCTTGCCCCAGCCCAGTGCAGGTAAGGCACAGTTGTGCAGGGACATCATCCTGCACCCCTCGCCCCAGAGAGCCCAGCAGGGAAGGACGGGAGGGCAGGTAAGGGAGCTAGCAATGCTGCTGGTAATCCCGTAGCCGCCTGCAGTGGCTGCATCTGAGCTCGCGGGAATCCCAGCAGTGCAACAGGTCTTTTACTGGGTGGGTCTGGAAAACCTGTTCATCACACAGAAAAGGCAGAATCGGTCAAGACAGGCTTCCTCTGGGGAAGCAAAAGGAGCATGGCACACAGCACCCACTCCCAATGAACACCTGAGCATCAGCAGCCCTCACCTCCTGCACTCCCACGAGCAGCACCGCGTGCATACAAGGAGCCAGGGCAGCACCAGTGTTGCACCACAGTGGCAGGGCATTGCCAGCCCTCACCAGCAAGCCCGGAGCACATCCCGTGACAGCACAGAAGCGGTGCAGGCAGGTCCTGGGCTACTCAGCACAATGTGTTTCCAGTGCCCAGGGCTCCCAAGCAGTGACAGCAGGGCCAGGGTTGCTCCCGGCCTTGCCGTGGCTGGCTGACCTCAGCAAATTTGCTTCTTCCCTGTCTGCCTGAGTTTCCTCATCTGTGTCATACCGCTCCACCCTCCTTTGTAAAACAAGGCAAGGTCCACTGACGAAGGGTGGCAGATAAGAGGGAGGGAGTTGTGCCATTAGTTGCACTGGGAAATTGGGAGTAAATACAAAATCTCAAAGGCTGGTGGGGAAGTGAGCAGAGGTGGGAGGGCAGCAGTGGTGCTGAAGCCCTATCTTGAGCTCTGTCCATGCTGGGAGCTGCTAATTCCCCCCATGGCGCCGTGGAAATCAGGCGCTGCGCTGAGCACGCCAAAGGGCTGCACCCTGGGAAGCGGCATCTCCATGAGGATGTGCGACAATGGGGCATAAGGTGCAGAGCAGGCTGAGCGAAGACCTCTCGATACAGCCCCCAGGAGACTGAAACCCGGATGCTGTCTGCAGACCCTGCACCTGCTGCAGACCGTACATGGGAAAAGGAAGAGGGATTTGGGGAAGAGATACAAGAGTGGTTTAAGGGCTGGAGAAAACGTCTGGCACAAACACACTCAGCTCAATCTGCTCAGTCTATTGGAGACAGAGAGGCGGCTTGCTGCAATGTCCATGTACCCACGAAAACAGGTGGGCCTGGCATCTCTGAAATCACACAGGAAAAGGCAATAGGAACCAGCTGCTCCAGAGGGAAATGGCCCAGCTCTGCAGCACAACAGGGGATCAGCTGGGAACAGTCCCCGGAGAAAAGGGCAGCTTTTTATCACGGGTAACTCCCATCCACTCCAGACAGCTTTTCCAAGGACAGCTTTTCCAAGAGAAGTGCTTGGCTGGAGACAGATAAGGCTCAACCCAGGGGTGAGCTTGGGACACCAGGGCTCAAACATGCTGAGCCCTTTGGTTTTAACACTGTGAACACAGTCTGATGCCCGTGCTGGTACCCCAACACCCTGCCTGGCCCTGGCCTGGCTGCACACCAGAGCTGAGCTACCTTTGTAGGAACAGAGATGTCCAGGTCCCCTCCCCATCCCCGACACCCACCAAGGCTGGAATGAGGCAGGACACAGCAGCTACATGGAGGACGGAGCCGCGAGTGCCCATGGCCAAGGAAAGCAACAGCAGGAACAAGGGAGGTGGGAGGAAAATGGGTCCTGTGCTGCCCTGCCAAACTCCATCCTCCTCACAAGCTCAGGCAGCCAAACCCCAGCTCAGATCCTGGGCCTGCCCCACCATCCTGCTGAGATCTTGGATGCAACCCATTGCACGAGCACAAAG